ATACATTGTGACCGAAAAGTTTCCGGTCATAAATAAATAAAACGCAAAATTCTTAATCTTCATCAATATTTATTTATCTCCTTCAAAATATGCTCCATTAGAAGCGATACACAAATGCCAACGTTTCTTCCAATCATCAAAACATTTTTTATAGGCGCTTTCCGGTATGGCTTTGAGTTACCTCTGCGAATTCTGTTTTACGTCTTCTATGGATTCAAAACGCGTTCCTCTGAGTGGTAATTTGAGGTTGGGAAACAGGAAAAAGTCACACGGTGCAAGATCAGGTGAATACGGTGGCTGTTCGATGGTATTTATTGAATGTTTGGCCTTAAAATCGTTGATAATGTTGAACAAATTGAGGTGAATCGGAACAAGCCGGGCGTTGACACGTCGCATACACAAATTGTCCACCAAAATCAAACGAGCCATCTCACGACCGATGCCTAGCTCTCGTGCTATCTCTCTAACACTCACATGAGGATTTTTGAACACGATTTCCTTTGCCTTTTCAATGTTTTCGTCGGTGGTAGAGGTCGAAGGTCGTCCAGAACGCGGCATGTCTTCGACGGTCGTACGACAGTCCTGAAAGGCTTTGTACCACTCATAAACTTGAGTTTTCGATAAAACTGATTCCCCATAAGCCTTTTGTAGCATTCGCAACGATTCTGCACACGAAATTTCGTTCGAAAAACAAAATTTGATGCAAACTCTTTGTTCAATATTTTTTTCCATTGTTTTTTTCGCAACGCACTACTGAGGTGAACTGGTTTCAACAGCTGCCGTAAACGAACTGTCCGACAGATCGCGCTCATTTTTGGCATAGTAATTAAGGACAGTGCTGCCAAACTACATAAACTTAAAATATCGAAAAATATACAGCGCGCGAATTTTAAATGAGAACCTCCGAAAACCTTTCGGTCACAATGTAGATGTAGTTTAAAGTAAAATGATTACGTTTAATGTTAAAGTTACCTTTTATGATTAGTGATAAGTATTATTAAAGAAAAGTCTGTAGTATTGAAGATTAAAATTGAAAATTAAGTGAAAATAATCTTATTCTTAATAAATGCGACCACTGACATTCAAAGTGAGTAGGCAGTCTAAGAAGAAGAAGATAGTATTTGATGTCAAAAATGTTTTCATTTGGCATTTCTTAGTAAAAACAAATCTAAATTAAATTTATCACTGTTAACAGAAATTCTTTAAAGAAATATATCATTTATTAAAACATTTTTATATTTAATAATAATTTTTGAAGAAAGTTTTACTTTAGTTTTTACTTTTTTTTGGGCAATTTATACCATGTATCGGTATTTGGTCAATTTTATAAACAAAAATTTACACTGCACCAGCATAATCAAAGAAAAAAACTAGTTGTAGAAAGCTGTTACTGAAAATACAATAATAAGATTTATTATATATTATACTAAAAAGATATTTCCATATACACAAGACTGGTCATATAATGATTTTTATATTGTTATACATTTCCAGAGATTTGCTCATAATTTTGGTTAGCTCATGCTACACTATTTACGATATTTAATTTTTGTTTATTTAAAAAAAAAATTTTATTATTAAAAATTTAAATGGTTTAATAAAACTAGCACTAAAAATGTATTTTAAATTTATGCACTCACAAATTTTGCATAAATACAGTTTAATGAGTAATAGTAGTCTTTGAGGCAATGGAATATTAAAAACGTTCGAAAATACGAGTACGTAAAATAAATGGCTTTTTTCTTTGTATACGCAAAATAATTCAATTAGATAATTTAAAATTATAAACAAAGAATTAAAATAGATTCCATGCCTCAATGAAGTATGAATTCCTTTTCCTACTTGCATTACTAATAGTATAAATATTCTATCATTAAATTGTTCTTTATAGAATTTAATGAAGTTAGAAATTTGTATTTTTCCTCACCTGTGGTACTTAGCAAATTTTTCACGTAATTAATCGAATGTTTTTGTTGTTGTTGATTTTTGCAAAATAAGAAGATTTACATTTGTTGCATATTAATAAGCCTTCAAGAAGTCTCTCTCTATCTGTTATGTATATATCTTTTTCTATTTTGATTAACGACAATGAAAATAAACTACAAAAAGTAAACAGAGCTATATATATTTTTATACAAATGTAAATTATAAAAATATTACTAGAAAAAGTTTTTTCTTTCATTTTTTATATTAAACATTCCAATTTTCAATACCCCACAAAGGTGAAGGCTCTTGATATGTTTAAAGTGAAATTGTGGATAATTTTATTTCGAATCAAATTAATTCGGATATAAAAATTTTTGGTTTTGTTTGTAAAACTTTGCAGAATTTTTTGCATTTAAAATTATTTTTCAATTTAAAGCGCCTCAATATATTTTATGTAATCTCTATTGGTACCCAATTCTATATATACTTTATAAATGATAAAAATGGTATAATAATGATGATTTATAAATGATAGTAGATGATGTAAGTTAGAGTTTATGGGGCACTCCAATATCAACTGGTTTTTATGACCAGTTTTATTCAAGCAGTATAGAACTGTTGTGGTTTATCTTTAGTACTTAAGTGGTGAAGTAACTACTCATATACAGTACTTGTCTTCGGAAATACCATACCGTTAATAGTACACCAAAGGCGAAAAGCTTCATTCAAATATAAATTTTCAGAAAAAAAAATTAAGCTAACTATTTTATAAAAATTAATTGAGATGGAGCATCTCATTATAAATATCACAATTTTTTTCACCAGTTTATCCTACAGTCTTTGTTTTATTATAGTAAAAATGTGAAATATATGATAAATTTATTTCCATATTTGACTAATATTTGTGCTGCAATCATCACTAAAAGTAAAAGTACCAATAATTAACTAATGTATAATCTGTCAATAAAATGTAAATAATTACTATATATAATTAAGTGTTTTAAAGTTATTATAAATCAAATCAATGCAAAAAGAAAAGCTGAATATTTTCACTTACTACAAAACAACTCAAAAATTATGTTTACACTTTGCAATTACTGAACTTCATTTAAAAATAATTACACATATTAGTGTTTACACTATACAAATTAATCAATTTAAAAAATAAAAATATTTTTAATATTTCATTTTGATTTTGTTGAACAAAAAAATCAATTAAACAACAAAGGTGTTAATATTTATATTTTTATAAGCATAATTATATCAAATTAGTGGCCGTTCAAGTATGACGTAACGATAAGTTATCGTGTTTTTAGAATTCCAGTATCCATAATAATGTCACATTACACATTTTTGTGATAGTTGTTAGTTTTAATGATCAAGAACCCCAATATTTGCTTTTCTTCCCAAATAGCGAAAGGCGCCGTTTTGTTGCCACATACCTATTCCTAAAAAGCTATGATTTAAAATCAATCTACACAGTTGATAAAAAAGATCTATGTAGGTTATTATAAAAGATAACATTTGAAGAACTATATTTGAAATATACGCCAGTCTTATTAGTTTGTAGAATTTTATCTGATTGAGAGGAATAGTGAATTTTTCGACAAGTGCCACTTTCTATGTGGCTTGCCATTTCTGTCACGTACCTTGCTATTTCGATCTTGGCTCTGGCCAGTAGGATTTTCCTACTTGGAAATTATAGTTTACCCATGTTAGCCTATAATGGTGTTCCATTTACTCTTAGAAAATGATTATGGTTATATATTTACGTAGTTTTTGATGAAATCAATATTTCTTCCCTCGTTGAGGATGCTTCTGATCCTTATTTAACTATTTCATCTGAAATTTTATATTCTATACACAGTGAACTCAGTTGAAATTTTGGCTGTTTCATTTACTTTGATTTTATATTGCTACAAATAAGCTTTGTCAATATAAGCATAAAGCATATATGTAATTTGTAATATAAAAAAAATTATTAAATAATAAAAAAATATGATTATAATATAGAAACGAAATATAAGTAAATACAAAATAAAACGAGAAATTATATTATATATTATGTGGTTTATGTTATATTTTATGTTAAATGTGAATAAAATAATTTAACTATATAATAAATTTTATACTATTTGTATTAGAATTCTTCTACGATATATTATATTATATTAAAATATTATGTTATAAATAAATAATTTATTTGTAATATATAATATTGTATATATATGTATATCTGACATATATATATATA